CCTCCCTCCCTCCCTCCTTGGGGACTACTTGTGAATATTTTTTGTAGTGCAAAAGCAAACCCCTCACTCCCTCAAGAAACTTACACCAGCATTAGAAAATGAAGTTTTCAATTTCAGAGAACTGTACTGTCAGATTTCCATTAATGTTTTACCCTTTTCTATGCTCATGAGAAATCTCTCTACCTTTCTTTTTCTATTTTTCTTTCCCCCAAGAAATCTCAGCTACCAATATGAGAATTCAGCCCTTTTTTTGCCACTTTCTTTATTCAGAAAAGGACATGAAAACATAATCTCTGTAGGTAAAAATAATCAAAGGAAAAGAAATTTTAAAAATAAACCTTTACTTAAGGGAAAAAAATAGCAATCCATAGTTGAAACTATATCAGGGATGTTTGGGACCTGCCTCGACATTTTATGGTGCTTTGTGGATAGCCAATATTATTTATATCAGGTTAACTGTGATTTAAAGGTCTTTCTATTTAAACACACAAATCACAATTGAGCAGAATTTTATTCCCAGAATAATGTCATCTAAGTCATCTTGGTTAAATTTTTCCTATTCATTGTCTTCAGATGTTAACTTTTAAATAAATATTTAAATAATATGCTTACAGATAGCTCCTGTAAAGGACTGAGTCACAAACATTCAAATCAGATATCTAAATCTGAATTTCCAGTGCTGGAAAATTTTGGCTCATTGTTGTGTAGCCTCAAGGAAGGGAGATGACATTTATGAGTTCACATCCTGACCTGGGTGTGGGAGCTGACACACTGGCTGCAGGCAAGGCACATCACACCCCTGGTCTGGGCGATGCTCTGATGGGTAATGGCTCTGCAGCTTTGAGTCACAGAAACCTGAGACCCAGGGCTCAGGGCTCGTCTCATACTCCTTGACAGCACGTCCAAAGAGAGGAGGATGAGACTACTTTAAAAGGGAAGGAATAGCTCATGCCACCAATTAAAAACCAGGAGAAATCATTTCCTTTATACTTTTATCCAGCTGACAGGCCAAAATGAGCTGATCTGTTCCTCTGCTGTGATGGCTTTTCATTTCCCAAGGCTCCTGCAGAAGAAGCATACTTCCAAGCTTGAATCATCTAATACAGGCACTGAGGTCCTCTACATATTCGCTGGGGAACAATTCAAACTTCATGAGTAAGGAATATCTTGAATAAATGAAGCTCTTTAGCGTGAACACAGACATAGTGGGTCAGTCCAAAGAGCCAGCTAAGCCACCACTCTGCCTTTGACATAGCCAACAGTAGATGCTTGGGGAAGAGCAGATGAGTAGGACATTCACATCTAAATTTTCTTCCTCAGTTACTTTTTCACCTACCAGTAGTTATAAATCATGTGGACTTTCTAATGTGTCCATGGTTTGTATGAATTTAGAGAAGATACTCATTTTCCTGTCTCTCTTTGAACCCAGGTAAATATTCAGTGTCTTCAATATCTAGGGGCAGGATTTATAAAGTTTAACTATGTGAGAACTTTCACAGGAGATCACTGGGAAACTATGACACTGCTGTCTGTGGAAGCAAACTTGAGAGGCATGAGTTTAAATTGGGAACCAGAGGAGAGTGAAAGCACATAAATATTTTTCTAGCCCTTTTCCTACCTCTGAGATGCACTCTAAGATTTTTGCTGCATGAAAGGCATGCTGAATGCAATGTGAAAATGTAACTGAGTTAGATGTGTGGAAGGTCCCAAGCTGATGAAGTGCATAGATCAGATGCCACATACGGTCCATGAAGTTTTTTTATGTGACCAGCTTAAGGACATTTTTTTATCATATCTGTTATCATCAGACAAAAATAGCTGTCAGGAATCTAAACTAAGCTTGCTCAGGGTCTAAGGAACAAAGAAATTGGGTTGATGTTACCATTTCATTGCTAACAATCTAATGGGCAATTTGGTATCTTTCCATAGATTATACTCTTTCTCTCCTTATAATTATAAATAAATATGTGGAAAAAATTCTAAAGCGTAAGCTCAATTTTAGGTCACATATGCCCAATGATAATTCTTTTGTCAATTTCTTGCATTGCACAACAAAACTGAACTCAGCTTGCCATAAAATGTCAACAACAAACTCTTTTGGTTGCAGCACCTTGTGCTGTGACTGGGGTTGTTGAAGTGTACATGGATTCAGCATGAAGGGAACTTGTTATCTACTACAAAATCATAGAATTAGAAGTTTTTTAGGTTGGATCTTTAAGATCATCAAGTTCAAGTGTTACTCTCACCAAGTCTAAACCACCAAATCAGTTTTCACAGATACAGTATAATTAGCTTGTAGAAAGTATGATACCAATGTCAGGTTATAGAAAAGCTTTAGTAACCCTTTGAACCTTGTCAGGATAAGCACTCACTGTAGTTACTCTAGTTTTTAAAAATTGTCACTCATAGGAATATGTTTCTGGTTCTGCTTCTGCTGTAAAAAAAAATTCCAGTAATGGATTGCAGAGATCTTTTAGACAGAACACACTGAAGCTACTAAAAAATGTGCAATTGGAGGAGAG